TTGGTTGGTCTTTCACCTTTACATACGGGGTAAGTACACAATAGAGGAGGAATTCACCTTAGCCTATTATTATTATTAATTTAGTGACAATGATATAAAAGCAGTAGTTGTCATATAATGTTTAGCTGGGTATTTGCTTTTAGCCAAGGACCTGTTCGGATCACAGAAAACATAAACACCTGTTTAGAAAAAACAAATGGATTTGTAGCAAGGTGTCCTATTTCTCATATAAGAAATAGTATTCGGCCATTGCTGCTGTTTGATGAAGACTTTTTTTATGTTTTAACATTCCAAAACTAAAAATTAAGCTTTTAGGGTTGGTGTCACCCCCGCCCAGGGGGCTGCTCCCCCTCGAAAACAAAATCGACCGGTCTGAGCGTTTTTCCAAAAAAAAAAAAACTGAGCTGCCAGTAAATGCATGTTTCGTTTTCAATGCGCCACCCTGTATATAAATACATTTGTAAACTAATTTTAAAATATCTACATATCGTTATTTTTTCAGCCCACGAACAAGATTTCACCTTTGTGTTTACCTGCTACTTATTTTATTGTTACTTCAAGTAAATAAACATTGTTATTATTATTTCTTTATCTTATTTAATTTACTCCTGTTTTAAGAATAACTAGATGATTCAAACAGCAACACAACTAGTACTTTTACCTTACTGGACGAGAATATACCTAGAAAAATTGGCCATTGGAATATCTTTTCCAAAGAAAATAATGTACAGTCTGCGAAAATCAAAAGTTCGGTCTAACAGACAAGGTTAAAAATCGCTTTGAAATAGAGTAATATCAAAATACTCTTTGGATTCTTATAACAGGGTTTAAACTTTAATTGAGATACAAGGTGATACAAGAATTCAATATAAACATTTTTAGGGCTTTCAAATATTAAAACTAGAAAATGGTCAGCTTTACAAAAAAGTTGGTGGATGCCTTTTTTGTTTTGAATGATCTAAAAAACCTGAATAAAATGTGGTCGTGCTAAAAATTGTGATTTTAATAAAATTCATCTGGGTAACCATGGGGGTACACTCAGTACTTAAAAACACGGTTGAAAATTATAATATTTAAGGTCGCCAGGTATCTACCTTGCTCTATAAGACCTTGAAAAGTATCTTGAGATTCATATATTTTTCATTTCAAAACTGGCCAACTTTTGATTTACACAGACTGTACGTCGATGTATTGGTTTGTCACTACTGGGCAATGGTAGGCAAATCTACACAAAAGGATGCACATAGGCTTGGCTTCTTTTCGACTTCGTTGATTCTAAGTGACTTTACCCTTCCCAATTTTCTGCAAAACACGCTAAATATTCGACCAAACCATCCACAAGGACTCAAGTCGTGTTAAGTAGTTAAAAATCTCTCTGCAACATCGTCGTTGTGGTGTGGCGCAGTTTCCTGTGTTTATTTTTATAATTGCGAAGCATATCCGGCCGAAATCAGGAATACCTACAGGATGTTTCCGTTCGGAACGTGTAAACCGCAAGCCGAATCCAGCTACGGCCGGGCAAAAATAGAGCCCTGCTCTCCGATCGTTATTTATCGCTCATTTACCGCAGACGCCACTTATCCCAACCGGCATGTGCAGTGGCTGGCGTCTTCATGGCTGATTATACGAATTTCTGAATTGTTTACTCCATACATTATATCTTTGAAAATGGCGTCGAGCAGGTTCAGTCTGCACCTCCGACGAAACGATGTCATCAGTTCATAAAGGATTAGGTTAAGTCAAACAGGCACATAGAATTCCGACCATCTGGGTACCCCAGTGTTAGAGATTTAAAATTTCAGGAAAAATTGGGTGCCGGAAAAAACCTGTTTTTTCCGGAAAAATTGAGGAATAAAAAGGAAAAATACGGAAAAATACAAGATAAAAGTATTCTGGTTACTGATTTTTCCATTAATACAGGGTGTCCGCAAAGTTGGCGTTTTCCTTTTCAGAAACAACTACCCTTGAAATAACAAAGATGATGTGTAGTGAAACGAGGGCGACCAAGTAAAAAAAAAATAAAGGAAAAAGTACTCACTCTCCAGTTGGCGAGAAGGGCTAAGTACGTCTCTGCCCGAAATCATACCGCTCCAACAGAAAATGAAATCAGCTGATGCGCTACCGAGCAGACGCAAGCAAACAAGGAAGGCAAAATGTTGCGTAAAAAGTCTAGATATTGCATCCCGTCCAATCGATTTGGGAGAATAAATGGTCCAATGAGCATACCGTTCACCATGCCAGCCCAAACATTCACCGAAAATGTTTGTTGAAAATGTGCCCGACGGACAGCGTGCGGATTTTCTACTGACCAAACATGAGTGTTGCGAAAGTTATTCACCCCATTACGCGTGAACGTAGATTCGTCTGTCACCAATATGCACTTCAAAAAGTCCGGATTATTGTCATGTTGATGTAACAACCACTCACAAAACCGCACTCTCGCTGGAAAATCGTCAGGTTGAAGGGCTTGTACACGTTGGACGTGAAACGGATACAGCCCCTCTTCACGCAGCGTTTGCCACACTTTAGTTTTTGATACTTGCACTTCTCTAGCCACGTGTCTAGTGCTTGTTGAGGGATTCTCGTCTACGCGATTACCTCTAGACGCGTGACCGTAACCGTCGGTTGAAGGTTGCATACTGACCTGACACACTGACCCCGACCCAGTTCTGTCGTCGGGTTGAGCTAGTGTCCTAGTACCAGTCGGGGATGTAGCGGCTACAGGACGGTATTCAGATATTTTTGATGTTGCAGAGCCATTTATCTCGGTTCCCTTAAGACATTGGTGTATATGGTACTAAGAAAAATTGCTTATGTTTTCAAGATCTACACGTGTAAAGGAAAACCTCAACTTTGCGGACACCCTGTATAGATCGAACAGAAATAATTTGAATCAAAACCGCAAGCTACGGCTCTGAAGGATTAGTTCTCGGTAAATACTCGTCGATTTTCGGTGAATCCCCGACCACTACAGCTTTCGGTTAATTCCCGATCAGGCACAGCGACACGGCATTTCGGTAAATCCCCGTATTCCTGAATTGTTCAGTTGAGAATGAGATTCTTCAATATTGACACGTCTTGTTTATTTTAAGGCACGCATTTTAATTTAGCCTTATCATAAGCGCAGTAAATGAATAATACAAAGTGAAATTTTGCTGTAATAATTGAGTGTGTTTGTTCTGAAGATTGTTAGTGTTGTTGACCCAAGTGTTTGTTTTGGTTTTTGGTAAGTGAATATTTTATTAAATTTGGAATAGCTTTAAGTGTTTTGAAGGTGAGATTTCAGTTTCCTTGCATATTTTCCTTACTTTTCCTTATAACTAATATCAAGATTCAGTTATAATAATTATTATCTGTATACTCATTAAATTACTAGAATTTGATCAGTTGATAAAGTGCAGCAAGATATTTTATTTATGTATTTTTTTCTTGTTGCAGGACAATATGGTTCGACCTTCTTCAGATATTTGGCAATTATACTAAGTGACATATAAATCCGAACACCCAGGTTAAATGGTTTTATTTTAATAAAATTTTGTATAAGTACTTAATGAAGCATAATAAGTAAATGATAAAAATTTCAAAATGATTGCACTGCTTTAAAGCCCTTTGACCTTTAATAATGTGTGGATGCACCCTGATGCGCTACGCATTCTCCAACGCGCCTAGGCATGCTTCTGATCAGGTGGTCAATGTCCTCCTGTGGTATCTCATTCCAGGCAACCACCAACTCCTCTCGAAGTGCTTTTAGAGTCTGAGGAGGACGTTGCAAATTGAGCAATCTCCTACCCATCATATCCCACACGTGCTCAATTGGGGATAAGTTGGGAGATCTTGGTGGCCATGGTAACAATGTGACATCATTATGTTGAAAGAAGTCTATTGTGACTCTTGCAACATGTGGTCGGGTATTATCTTGTTGGAAAGTTGGATCTGCCAGGGTGTCAAGATAGGGTAAAAGATGGGGTTCTAGAACTTCGTGGATATAACGCTGCGCGTTCATGTTACCTCTGATGAAGATTAAAGGTGACCTGGAACCATAAGCTATAGCACCCCAAACCATAACTCCAACAGTGTGATGAACATGTCTTTCAACAAAAAACTGTGGATTCCTCCTTTCACCGTCGCCTTCTAACCCTTACACCGACGTAATCGCCTTGAGTGGTGCAGACAACGGTCACTCTGGGATCAGGAATGGAACAGTATTGTCTTTAGTGACGAGTCTCGATTTTGTTTAGGCATGCACGATGGTCGTGCCAGGGTTAGAAGGCGAAAGGAGGAATCCACAGTTTTTTGTTGAAAGTCATGTTCATCACACTGTTGGAGTTATGGTTTGGGGTGCTATAGCTTATGGTACCAGGTCACCTTTAATCTTCATCAGAGGTAACATGAACGCGCAGCGTTATATCCACGAAGTTCTAGAACCTCATCTTTTACCCTATCTTGACACCCTGGCAGATCCAACTTTCCAACAAGATAATGCCCGACCACATGTTGCAAGAGTCACAATAGACTTCTTTCAACATAATGATGTCACATTGTTACCATGGCCACCAAGATCTCCCGACTTATCCCCAATTGAGCACGTGTGGGATATGATGGGTAGGAGATTGCTCAATTTGCAACGTCCTCCTCAGACTCTAGAAGCACTTCGAGAGGAGTTGGTGGTTGCCTGGAATGAGATACCATAGGAGGACATTGACCATCTGATCAGAAGAATGCCTAGGCGCGTTGGAGAATGCGTAGCACATCAGGGTGCATCCACACATTATTAAAGGTCAAAGGGCTTTAAAGCAGTGCAATCATTTTGAAATTTTTATCATTTACTTATTATGCTTCATTAAGTACTTGTACAAAATTTTATTAAAATAAAACCATTTAAACTGGGTGTTCGGATTTATATGTCACTTAGTATATTTGATATTGAAAAAACAGATAAAAAATCCAAGGCTGTGTGTAAGTTTTGATGTTTTAAATACGCCTATTCAAACGCAACTCGCATGACGAATCATATATTAAACCAATGTTCAAAATGTCCTTTGGAAATTAAACAAAAATATGGCAATGAAATACAATCGAGTTCGAAGTCTTCGACGTCAGAAGAAAAAGAAAGTAACAAAGATATCCTGCTAGAAGCATTAGAAGATACCAGTCTCCCTTCAACTAGCAAAAAGGACACGTCATCAATGTCATCATCTTCCGAATCTCCATTACCATCAGTAAAACGCAAGAAAGCTAGCTGCCAACAAACATTGAGCGGGTTTTTCGATAAGATAGCTGTTTCAGAGTCTTCTAAAATTGATGAGGCATTAGCTAGGGCTCTTTATGCTTCTGGTGCTCCTTTTCCTCTTTTCAAAAATAAATATTGGAAACAGGTTTTTAAAATGTTAAGACCGTCATACCAAATACCTAGCCCTTACGCCCTGTCAATAAACTTACTTAATTCCGAGTATGAACGTGTACAGATAAACCGAAGTCAAAAGCTTTCTGAATCCGATAGCTTATCACTAGTAACAGATAGTTGGACAAATATAGTCGGAGATGGATTAATCAATATTGTTATATGCACGCCTATACCTTTATTTTACAAAACTGTTCATCGTGGCACTGCAAAACAAACGGGGACGTATATAAGTAATGAACTCATCAAAGTTATTCAAGAAATAAGGACACAATTTTTTTTTTTAATAGTGACTGACAATGCGAGCAATATGAAAGCTGCTTGGCATATTATAAATACAACATATCCTCATATATCTTGTGTTGGTTGTGCAGCTCACACTGCTACTCAAGGACTTTATGAAAGAAAATTTGTTTGAAAAAATAAGTAGAGTCTAAAAAAATTTGTAAATATTTTAAACAGCACCACATATTGATCGACCAGCCAAAGATTGCTAGGGACGAAAGGGGGAAATGCGATGAAAAAACCTTACCATTAGACGATTTTATATGGAGTCATAGGCGGAGATCGGAGAGACTTGAATTATTAATTGAATTTATATTTTATTACAACTGGTAGTATTAATATTTTTTTGCGATTCATAATGACGTGATACCAAACATACATTATAAGAAATAAATATACACAAACACTGAATATTGAGAACAAAATAAATATATTTTTTAGGCAACAAGTAATATTCCTATGTACGCATTATGATTGAACAGCAAAACAAATTATGCATTCTTCTAAAATAGAATACAACAAGTCAAAAATATCTGACTGAATAGAAAAATATAGGAAAACAAAAAGTAATTTCTTGATGAAATAACCCATAAACAACACATAGAATTAGACTTTCTACTGAGATACTAAAAGCCACAAACCAATAGTATAATAAATGAATATCTAAAAATTCTAAAAGGTAGCCAATCTAGTATAGTTTCAATCCTGATTAGAGTCATGATCACTGTCTGAGGAACTGTCATTGCTATCACTTTCACCTCCTATGTTGATTATTATTTCTTCCTGTATTTCTTGAATGAGACTGTCTTTTTCCCAATATTCATCTTCAATTTTTATAACATGTCCAATAACCTTTTGCCAGTCACTGGCACTTACTGAAGCGATGGCCTTATTAGAAATTTCATCTAGTTTTTTTATAGTAAATTCGCCGCTTGTATTATGGCTTCTAATGAAAAATTTTACTTGTGCCCAAATCATCTCTATGGGATTAAACTGACACATATAGGGTGGCGTTCGAAGTGGGGTGTGTCCGAAACTTCTTATTAAATTATCTATCTTATAATTTTTCTCATCAGATGGTGGCCTATGTAGACAAGCTATTTCATAAAGCTCCATTTTTTTAGCATTAGGATCATGCTCTATACCTTTTTTGCTCAACCACGTGATGATGTCTCTTTTTAGAGAAGATCTAGTTGGAGGCTTGTCTTCCAAAGCTGAATGGTAAGGTGCATTATCCATTATTATAATACTATTAGGAGGAATGTTAGGAAATAGTTTTTCAGTAAGCCACTTCGTGAAATTTTCTTGGTTCATTTGACCGTGATAATCACCAGTGGCACAGCCAGCCTTGAAAATGAGACAGGCTCCAGGAACAAAACCATCTTGCGAACCCGCATGAACAATTATAAGTCGTCCTGGAAATGAATAAATAGCCTCATTTTAGTGTTATTTTAAGTTTGCCAACACCTTTTTGAATCACTATGTATAAAAAACATATTTTTGAGAAAAAAATACTTGCAAGGGATTATGTATTCAATTAGATTACTTTATGCTGCATTTAAAGAAGCACAGGCCGAAAAAATATCCAAAAAATAAAGTAATTTCCCTCAAATTACCTGCAAAAACAAGATGGGGTTCTCTGTTTATAACTGTTGATTCGCTTTTAACAAATAAGGAAGCTCTGCAATGTACTGTATTAGTGGAAAACCTGAATGTAAAACAAAATATTAAAAAAGTTGTATTGGATGATGCGTTCTGGCAAAACCTACAATATACTAAACAAATCCTGCATCCTGTATCAAAATCGATAAATTTAGTAGCATCGGATAGATGTATACTATCAGAAGTGCCTTTTGTCTTTAGGTATATAAAAGACACAATATTAGATATTCCCCAACAAGTTGACCTGACTAGTTCTCTTATCGAAAGCTTGCTAAAACATGTTGAAGAACGCTACGAATTTTGTTCTAAGCCGATTCAATTTGCAGCCAATCTTCTTGATGCTCGCTTTAAAGGAGAACAATTGAATAAAGACCAAATAATGGAAGCAATAGACTTCATTTCTGAAATGGCTCGTTCACGAAATCTAGATGTAGGGAAGGTGGTGGTAAATCTAGCCCAATTTAGAACAAAAACTGGATTTTTTAGTCGAAATTCTTTGTGGGATAGTGCGAATAGTACTCATCCCGTTATATGGTGGCAAGGCTTGTGTACATCGCAGCCACTTATGCCAATTGCCCCCCGAATTTTAAATGGACCGCCATCTTCCACCTCTTCAGGAAGAAACTGGTCTTTACACGGCCTCATACATACAAGCAAAAGAAATAGATTATCACAGGATAAAATTCAGAAGCTGGTTGCTATTCATTCTAATTTGGTTATAAACGAAAAACAGATATTCATTTACGATGCTAGACCAGCTCCACTTTTAGAAGACACTTGCAAAGATTATGCTGTTTTGTCCGTCCATGAAGACGAAGCGGAGATCGAGTCTGAATCAGATGCTTGGTCTGAAGATTCAAACTCAGACTCAGATGAAAATATACCTCTGAGCGCTTTGGTTAAATAATGTGTTTTCTACCTTTGAAGCTTTGTTTTTGATACTTTCAATTATTAGAGAATAATTATAATTTGACCCTATATACATGTATGTATTTATATCTTAGATATTAATAGATATTATTAAAGTATGTTTTTTGTATTTATTTTTACAAAATATGTTTAAAAAACTTGAAAATTGGTACCTATTTTTTACGTTTCAAGTCACAATTAAAAAATATTTAAATTTTCCCATTTTTTCCAATTTTTTCCATGGTCTGGAAAAAAACGGAAAAGACGTGTTTTTTTTTACTAATTTTTCCCGTTTTTTACCGATATGTTAAATCTCTACCCAGGGTTCGTATTTGAGACCATTGCTTTTTTTCTTCTTTGTTCAATATAAGTAGCAGTATTCATTGTGAAACATTACTAAGTATTTGCAGATGACTTGAAATTGTTCTTTGAAATCAAAAGAATCACTGATTGTGAGTAATTACACTGTCAATTATCTAAGTATGAAGATTGGTATCGATTGAATAAACTACACCTGCATATCGCAAAATGCAAAGTGGTTACACTCTTTCGAAAGCAGCAAATAGTAATGTACCCTTATAACACCGGAGGAAATATAATCAGTCCGCACGAAAATGTTTCTGATTTAGGGGTGACATTTGACAGTAGGATGAATTTTTTCACATTACTCTAATTGTAAATAGTGCTAATAGAGGTTTAGGTTTTAATTTTCGGATTACTTTGTATATGTAATTTCAAAATGCAATATGCTTCGTCGGTTTGGAGTCCGTGTTATAACTGTTAGCTAAATCAAAGCGATCACGTTCAAAAGAAATTTCTTAAATTATCTGATTCATTCAGTTTATCCTACCAAGAATTGTTGTGAAGATTCCAAGGTATATCCTTGAGTGAGAGAAGAAAACACAACTCCGTCTTCTTAAACTTTTGCATGGTATTGTTTATTCTTCAGAACTGTTATCCCAGCTCCAATTTTTAGTACAAAGGACATGTTCTAGAAACAATATCTTTTTTATATCCGTGCAAATACCAACTTAGCTTTAAAACCTCCTCATGATTATCTGAGAACGTTGATATGACTAACCTCACCGCTCGCTGAAACTATTCGTCGTTTTTGGCTCCAATTTTTATCCCCTACAATGTTTCTCTTAAAATTATAAGGAGCCTCGGAAACTTCAAAAAACAAAGTTTGATCCACTTCTATTTCTTCTATTTTTGCCGTTAGCTCCACGCCCACTGGACCACTTTCCAAAAACTGCAAAGCTTTTTCGGAAATTTAATGGAAATTCAAGTGGTAATTTGCAAGTTATAGATGGGCAGACAAACCAAACGACAGAGCGACGGAAACGAGTGACATAGATTTTCGTGATGTACATGTCATGTAACATCCAGAAAACACAATATTCCATCTTCTTTCATCTTTTTACATTTTAGATTTTACAACTGTTCTTCCTATTTTATTCGCTCTCCATTTTTTAGAAAACTAATCAGTATCAGAAACACTAACAGGGAATTTGAAGAACCATGCTTGATGTCTAAAAAAAACTACGTGCCCTATTTCCTTACTCAATCTGCCGTCTGGTAATGATAATAGTTTGGCACTAGGCAAGAAAAAGGCTCTTTATTTTCTTACAATAGCTATGATCAGGGTCTATAAGCGGGCTTTTCGGCCCTGAAAATAACTCAAATTTCAAATTGAACACATCTATGAAAGTCTGCATTTAAATATTTTCGAACACGTATATTTTAAACTTTTGTCAACGATTTTTTGTACTTGATTGTTCCCAAAGTTTACAATTTTGTCAAAAATTTCGAATATTTATTTATTTTTAGATGAGCACATGGTAACAACAGTTCCTCCTTCAAATCTACGATAAAACAAAAATAGGTGTTGTTCCACTACCCTCATATTAAAAGCAAAAGTTAGATCTCATTATAATTTTGTATTGTTTTATTTTTTATTTTTAATGTGAGCGCAGAGGAGCATAACATGCATTTCTATATACAGGGTGGCGCATCGAAAACGAAACAGACGCATTTACTAGCAGCTCAGTTTTTTTAAAAAACGCTCAGACCCGTCGATTTTGTTTTCAAGGGACACAAGTTTGGCGAAAAATCACGTTAGCACGTGCAGCCCCCTAAGCGGGGGTGACACCACCCCCAAAATCCTAAATGGAAAGGGGGATCGAGTGATACCTTATTTTAAAGGTCTTTATATTCCCTTTATAATGATATAAAATTAATGTACTTCAGTTCAGTAGTTTTGAAGATTTATTGATTTAAAGCTTAAATAAAACTAATACATCATCATTAGTGGAGATCAATACATTTGGCAGCAAAGTAATTTAAAAATGAAGAATGAACTGACCCATTAGGCAAGTAAATGTTGAAAATGGCCACCATGACTCTACATGCAATAATAAAGATTTTGGTCAAAACGTTGCCGCACATTTTGCAATATTTGAGGAGTAATTTGAAGGCACTCACAATTCTTTGTCGCAGGTGTCCTAATAATGTTGGCTGGGTACATAGATTTTGCTTTTTAAATGACCACACATAAAGAAATCCAAATGTGATAGATTTGGCGATCTTGGGGGCCATTCAATGGCACCTCTTCTACCAATCTATCGAAACATTTAATTTTTGTGGCTGCTGTGTATGAACCTTATGATAAATTCTGGGATTAGAATCGGACCAATATCGGCAGTTATGACCATTTAAGACATTCGTCAGAAAAGCAAGTGTTGAATAGAAAATGTTCATCGTTTATAATTCGTTCACTCATATCTTCACAAAATTGTAATCGCCGATCAAAATCGTCTTCATTTAGTTCTTGTACCAGGTGAATTTTAAACGGATGAAAACTATGGGCCTTTAGAATCCGTTGGACAGTACGTCGACTAACACCACACACGGTCTCCAATTTGCGGGTACTTAACGTAGGATCTACATAAACTTGCCCTAAAACCCCCACTTCTATTGCTTCGTTTCTTATGGGATTTTCAATGTTGCGTTTTTTATTGCCGACTGACTCAGTTTCCCAAAATTTAGCTACATGTTCTAGAACATATTTCGATGCACTTCTCATGTCGCTCATTAAATATTTCTGCTGTTCTATTAGCGCACTGATTATTTTCGAAAAATATTTCGATAGTTTCAACTCTTTCTGCTGTGGAATATACCATGGTTAATTTATGTAATAAAGCGTCACAAGTTATTTTAGCAACAAAGTTTGGTCAAATCAATCGCAAACTATGTACTAAATTCCTATTTAAAATAAGTATATATCAATAAATCTTCAAAACTACTGAACTGAAACTGATGTATTTTACATCATTATAAAAAAGGGAATTGAAAGACCTTTAAAATAGGGTATCACTCGACCCCCCTTTCCATTTAAGATTTTAGGGTTGGTGTCACCCCCGCCCAGGGGGCTGCACGTGTTAACGTGATTTTTTTCCAAACTTGTGTCCCCCTCGAAAACAAAATCGACGGGCCTGAGCGTTTTTCCAAAAAAAAAACTGAGCTGCCAGTAAATGCGTCTGTTTCGTTTTCGATGCGCCACCCTGTATATTTTTTTTTTAATTTTTATTGGAATGTTTATACATAAAAATATAAAAACGACAACATTCCAAAAGGAAAGAGGATTTTTCACCTCCCCCTAAAAAGTTAACTTCAAGAGCGTTTTTTAACATCAACAGAATGATTAGTATTCACAACAAATATTATGCACAACACAGTATATAATACGATATAGTCTGAGTGTTAATGGAGGGTAGTGTAGCAAGCGCCATAAATTTAATTTGTGGATTCAAATCTTTGCAGCTGTAGTAGCACTTTTTCCATCTCATTTCTGAAGTTTTGGATGGAAGGTGCTTCAAAAAGTTCTAAATGATCGTTTAGTAGATATGGTGCCGTGTAAGTAAAACATTTTTTGAATTTAGATGTTGTATGACCTGGAATATTGAAGTATTCATTGTTGCGTAAGGAAACTTTACGGAGTGAACATCTCTTCTCCAAAGCAATAAACAGATATCTGGGTAATTTATATTTTAAAACTTTATACTCGTAGAGTTCCATACTGAAGTAATACACGATACTTGAATTTTAAAAGATTTTCTCTCACATAATATCCAGTAATATGTTCTTGTATATGTATATCTTTGAAACAGAATCTCATGCAGCAGTTTTGTAATACTTGAATTTTGTGCTTCATTTCTTCCGTCAGAAAATTATAATATACTGTAGCGCCATAGTCTAGGTGAGTGAGGATTAGTGCATTGGTAAGCCTTAATTTTATATCGCTGGTTAAAACATGTTTGTATCTCCAAAGTGACTTGTATTTACAATAGCATACTCGAAGTTTATTAATGACATGGTTCTCAAAACTTAAATTTGTGTCCAACAAAATGCCTAAATTCTTAGTCTCCTCTACAATTTCAACAGATGTATCACCTAAAACAATGGCTGTACTCATCAATCCTTTAAATTTTGAAATATTTAACCTAGAACCAATGCAGCAAGCTTTAGTTTTTGTGGGATTCAGTTTCAAACAATAATTTTTGGAATAGTTTGCAATCATTTCTAGATTTACATTTAACTCTTTAATCAATAAATTAACTTCATTTGGCTTGCAAGCTTTATACATTTGTATATCATCAGCATATAGATGTATATTCCAATCATGTGATATAAAATTTAATAAATCAGATGTATAGAATGTAAATAGTAATGGACCTAATACACTTCCTTGCGGAACACTAGAAACTACATTTTGTAAAGTGGAAATTTTGTTAAATATCTTTGTGCATTGGGATCTGCCAGTCAGGTAGTTGTTGAACCACTGTAAGGCATTACTGGACAAATCATAATATTGTAGCTTTTTACATAATACTTCATGGTTGACCATGTCAAATGCCTTACTGTAATCTAACATCACCAATACGGTCACCATACCATCATCCATCAACTTGACTATATCGCTAGTTACTTTTATAGGCG